CTAGTAGTAACAAGAAGCTATTAGAAACAATAAGCTACTAGGAACAAAGGGCATCGCTGTGAATGGAACGGACGGGTGAACACGAAACAGTGACCGAGGCACCCGGATATGAAGCGTGACACGGATCGTCGTCGCCGTGGCTCTCGCTTGGAGGCGAGAGATCAACGCACATCCGAATTGGTGCTTTTGCAGGGCTTCAGGGCCTTTAGGATGCCTTTAGGATGCCTTTAGGATGCCTTTAGGTACAAAGCCTGAATCAATCCTGCCACAAATCCCTTGACATTTGGCTGTTAGGCGAGCTCAGGATGCCGGTCGACATGTGTTGGACACTCGCAAGTGAGTCACACCACCCGCTGCCCTGGTTCAAGTCTTTTCCCGGTTCGCGTTGCAGACGCCTGCCGGAGTCAAGGCGAGGAAGAAGGAACGATAGCGAAACATGGCGTTGGTCATCGTTGGTCAGCAAACAAGAAGACGACGAACGTTCGGCAATTCGAAACGCTGAGCAGACAGCATCGTCGGTGAATCCAGCAGACAGTGTTGCTGCTATTGCTTTTTAGCTAAAAGGCTTTCAGCTGTGTTTGTCCAGTCGAGTTTGTGGCCCTTTTTCTCCTCGTTTGAGGTGTATTGACCAAGGGTCATGGGAAACAAAGGTTGCTGCAGCTTGGCAGCCATCAGAACGCTTTGATACGCTTCGTACGCCATTCTCAGCAAAGGTACAAAACAGCTGTGAAAAATGCAGTTTGTTTTTACAAGCACACAATTTTATGATGAAAACGACTTGAGTCGAGGTGAATGTCAAGGGCAGGTTGGAACCTCAGGGCCTCGTTGGGTCTCGAATCCGATGTTCGATGTCGCATAGTAGGCGTCGTTTCGGACGACAGACGAACGTGTCTCGTGTGGTCTGTTAATCCGAATGTTTTGTGTTATTGTCATGTTATGTCATGTTCAGTTCTGCCATTTCCCTTTGTTCCCTTTTAATATCCTTTTGCCAAGTAATTAGCCATGAAACGGAACAATAGGAAGTGACATCCGTTTTCTCCCGGTTAAGTAGTTTGCTTCCTTATTTCCCTTCGTGAGGAAGCGGAGCCGGTGACAGCTGTCAAAGCTGAAGCCTACAGCAAGGAGCTGGAGCGGAGCAGACATTTGTTTTCTTTACTTTGAGTTAGTTGTTCTACGCTCTGGATGTTACTCAAATATACTCAAATTCTTACATTTGTCTTTCAATCTCTAGACCGTTTGCCCTTTCTTCCTTTCTCCAACTTCTCAGTTTTTCAGTCTTTTTCTATAAGTATCGTATCGTTTTTCCGGGAGGCAAAAACCAGAGAGTCTCCTGGACCGGCTAAATGAGATTGCTCTTGCTCTTGGAAAAGACCTAGCTTCAAGTATTGACGTTGAAGATAGTCCAGCACTGGCTCACAGTTTCTGTCGTGTCTGTGAGTCTCACGGTACTCGTCGTTTTTTCTGTCCCTGTCCCGCAGTTCGACCCGGACGAGACCCTCGACACAAAGCGCAATGCAGTGCCGGTCCTTTTTCAGCTGCCAAACGGCACGACAAAGGACCCAGAACGTTTTCACGTTCCTTCACAGCATGCAGCATGAGACAGCATTTATGTCAAACCATGCGAAACAAACACGTTTTGCAAGTGTCAAATGAAGAGAATTCGAGAGGGGAGAGATAGGGAGAGGAAATCAGAAAAATATAGGATAGGCTAGGCTGTAAGAGAGGAATGAACACCGAATATCGAAAATGAAAGTAAAAACAAATCAAAGTCCGACTTTTTAGACTCTCTGACTCGAGGAGATAAGCTTCACAAGTCGGCCCTGGGGCATCGACTTCACCAAATCAGCTCCTCGGGTTTTGGAAGAGAACGCTACGAACGGGGCTCCTGGCATCGCTACGAGCAAGGACGCTACTAGGAGCAAAGGGCATCGCTACTAGGAGCAAGGACGCTACTAGGGGCCCTTGGCCGTACTACTAGGAACAAGAAGCTACTAGGGGCTCCTGGCATCGCTACGAGGAGCAAGTCTAATGCTACTAGCGGTTCGGTTGACGGTTAGGGAGGTGAGCTTCGAAGCGCTCTCGGGTTGGAGCTTCCTTGAAGAACCCCTTCGACGGTTGCGGATTCGCATCGATATCTTTTTCGAAGAAAACATGTTCAGATCTGAAGGATGAAGCAATCTGCACGAACTACGAAGATATTTGGTAGACACACTGTTCCTCTCACGTTATGAGTGAACTTCCGAGGTGCCCGTCACGGTGAAGCGCGTCAGAGTGAACTCACACGCCTCGGTTTTGGGCGTCCAAGTTGACTGGGTTGCACTGAAGATTGTTCCATGCTCAGACACGCTCAGATTCTTCCCATCGCTAGTAGGTTGGAAGCCATAGCTACTGGTAGCAAGAAGCTACTAGGAGCAAAGGGCATCGCTACTAACAGGAAGGACGGACGCTACTACGTAGTAGCTCCTAGCCTTACTAGGAACAAGAAGCTACTAGGAACAAAGGGCCATTGCTATTAGTTGTTGCATGTTGTTGCTATTAGGCTCAGATTGCGCACGGCACCATGAGACGACGGAAAGACTGCCCCCCGTGCTGAGGGGTCTGACGAGCTGCCAATGGAGTGATGCACTTGGACAGAACCAACAGCTATATTATTAATAAATGTATTTTATCTATATTAAGTTGTACATAATCATAATATGCCGTTAAACAAAAAAACACATTTCTTTGTCGTTCTGCGCTGATGCGAGACATGGCATAAGGAAAGGTGTTTCAACTGCTGTAGCTGCAACATGTCTTGTATGGAGCATCTTTCATTTGCGCCTTCCTTCAAAGGTTTGCTCAAGCCATGAAAATCATCCAAACTCACGTTTTGACCTCAGTTTTTCGACTTTGCTCAATCTCCAAAGCAAGTGGTTAGGGTGATGGCCCTTCCGCGGGTGCGCTGGCCCTTGCAGGGCGCGCAGAACGCTGAATTCTCCCTGTTACAACCGGATCCTGTGGTTCTGTTGATCTCATTTTCATTTGTTCAGAGAAGGGAAGGCTAGGTAGACAGGATGAGGTACCCTTTACAACTGCAATGCACTGGTGGCACTGAAGGGGAACAAGGCTAGAACTTAAAAAGCTCGCCTGTCTTTGCGCATTTTCAGTCAACTTGTAGGGCAGCAGGACGATTCCAATCTGAAGTTTTTGGTTGGATTCAAAAAAAGAAACAAGAGAACCTTAAGCCTTAAGCCACCAAACAGATTGGGATAGATGGATGTGTTTCATAGCGCATGATGGTATGTTCCGCTGTTCTTGAAAGAGCAGGCTCTTTGGAGCTTTAAGATCTGAAGTTTGCGTACAACTTGTTGGAAGAACCAAACAGTTTGTCTAAAGCATTTCCGACTGTGGAGCGTGCCAACGCTTGTCTCACACCGGCCTTACTCCGAGGTCCTAAGCCTGCCTGAGATTAAGTGAGCGTCAGTCGAAGACTCCAAGATCAGCCGAGCCGCTCCGGGCGCTCGGCAACCTTGCGCTCCTTGCATTGGGAACCTAATAGCGATGACCTCCGATGGCCTCCAACCTAATAGCAACCTAATCCAATTGTGAATTGTGATTCACGAAAAATTCCACAAATTTTCACAATTCCTTGAATTCTCCGTGTGTTCCGCGTCACAACGACGGTATTACGAGGTCTTATGCAAGGGCCGATCCAGTGCATCGGAGCAGCCAGGAATGCGCTGATTCCAAAATAATGGACTTTTGGGTAGAACAAATATGACCCCTTAGGAACGGTCCAAGGTCTAAAGGTCAAAAGAAAAGAAGGCATGCATGTAATAAAAGACAATAAAACATATCCTTTTCTTTTTTAAGTGACCTAGCTTACCACTCTTCTACTAACCACTTCTTACTAGGCTCACTTCCCCTCACTGTCCGGTCTCACTGCCTTTCTTCGAAAAACCAAAACAAAAGATCCGCCCCTGATGTAGCGCGAGGCGCGAGGCGCGAGCCTATAGTGTTTGGGTCCGTGTGTGCCCAGACGTGGAGCTCACCCGTGACTCCCGTGACAAAGGGAGGAGATGCGAGGAGGAGAGGAAAGGAGCATAGATGAGGAGCATAGAGGAGCACCTTTCATAAACATCTAGAGATCGCACCTGGCAGGTGGGCAAAAACAGTGCACACACACAGCTCACGTTTAATCTTTCAGCAGAAAAACGTGGAATTTTTGTGTTGGCTCTTTCGCATGCTGGAGCTGCTTCGACAAGTTTGAGTTTCACCCACTAGGCCCGCTCCGGTGTGGCAACAATCCGCTTGAGGCTGGGCTCTCAATCCAGGCAAAGCTCTCAAATGTCAATTTCGAGTCACGAAGACGATGATGCGACTGCCGTGAAAACGGGTTGGCTAAGCTCACGTGGCGTTTTCACAAAGCGTTGCCGGCTGATAGACTTCCACGTGGCATCCTATTTGTTATTGTTCTTATGCATTTTTGGTACCTGTCAATGTGTTGACCAGATGTCTCAACATTTAGTTGTCAATCTGGATGCAAGTAGAAGAAACAGCCTCTGGAAGTCAGTGCGTTTGTCGAATTACTTTGGCGTGACAGATGCACTCCTCGGAACCCGGCGCAAATTCACTACACCCATTGAGTTGCTGGAGCTGTGAAACCGCGAATTGTGGTCCACGCGAACGGGTTCATCATTTGATATGGACTTCACATCAATTTTTGTGACGGGGAGATACTAAAAAGCAAGAACAAAAATTGGAACATGCAAAACGACACGCAAACACAAGACCTTGAAATCAACAGGCCATGGCATCACTGTTCAAACCTAGTCTCAGAGAACTGTGTTTTTGGCCTATTTTCATCGAACTCAATTGTCTACGAGACAGGTCTTCGGGATGAATGAAGTAATACATATAGTGTGACAGAGTCAGACTTGGTGTGAGAGCTTTTCGCAGAGTGCCCACTTGCGCAGCACGCTCCACCTCTCTGTTTTGCACTTCTGCCTGCTCATGGATGGCACAATGGCGTAAAAAGGGAGTCGGACCGATCGAGTTCGAAACTGTATCCTGCAAATTGTGCATGGTTCTTGCATTGTTTGATGCGCTATTAAGGAAGGAAAGGCAGAAACGACTGACAAAGGAATACTATAGAATTCCAATGAATGTAGTGGTCTGTTTGTTCATCGCTATTAGGTCGGAGGCCATCGCTAGTAGGTTGGAGGCCATCGCTACTAGGGTGGAGGCCATTGCTATTACGGTAGAGGCCGTCACTATCGCTTTTAGGTTGGAGGCTATCGCTAGTAGGTCGAGGCCATCGCTATGAGGGTGGAGTGGAGACCATCGCCCATCGCTATTAGGTTGGAGGCAACCGCTGTCAGGTTGGAGGCCATCGCTAGTAGGTCGCAGGTCATCGCTATTAGGTTTAAGGCCATCGCTATTAGGGTGGAGGCTAACGGTAGTAGGTTGGAGACCATCGCTAGGAGGCCATCGCTATTAGGTTGGAGGTCATCGCTATTGGGGTTTAAGGCCATCGCTAAATTTGGGTGGAGGCCATCGCTAGTAAGTTGGATGCCATCGCTATTAGGTTGGAGGTCATCGCTATTAGGGTTAAGGCCATCGCTATTAGGGTGGAGGCCATCACTAGGTTTGAGGATGTTTGAGGCCATTGTTATTAGGTAACCAGGTCAGTCATCGCTATTAGGTTTAAGGCCATGGGCCATCGCTATTAGGGTGGAGGCCGTTGCTAATAGGTTGGAGGCCATCGCTAGTAGGTTGGAGGCCATCACTAGTAGGTTGGAGGCCATCGCTAGATGGTTGGAGGCCATCGCTAGT